ATATGGAATATATTTTAGCAATGTAATTAAAAAGTAATTAATATAAAAAGTAAATAAAAAGTCGGGCTGTTGTGTTTTTTATTTTGAATCCACTGTTGACAATCGTTACCTCGTCCATGTCTTCGGTCCTCACCTGCAGACGTCCCGTCGGCCGAACTTTAAGGAACTGTCCCAGGACCACACCCGCTGTCAGCGCTGGCTCTATGAAAAACGCATCAAGGCCTTTTACACGCCCGTTTTCTCCGACAACCTGAGGCACGGGACGCAGTTCCTCCTGCAGGTCAGAGCGCACGGTTAAAAACTGAATAATCAAAATCATCTCATAATGACAAGTTTCTTTAACGATTATCAATAAGCCAAATTACTTTAACAAACGTTTTCTATTGAAACTCAAGACTCATTTTTTATTGTCTCTAAATATACATGTCTACTTTCTGTTGAAATATATTATTTCAGAGTTTCTGTGTCAGGGTTACATTTCCTAATTTACAACAAACAAGTACAACACAGTTATCCGTCACACGGCCCTCGTCTCAGCTCGGTCATGTGATCCGCTCTCTGCTCCTCAGGCGGTTGGTTTAGGTCGTCTGAAGCCGAACACGCTGGTCATGGGATTCAAGAACAACTGGAGTGAAGGAGACATGAGAGACGTGGAGATTTACGTCAACACTATCCAGTAAGTCATTGAAATAAAAGCTCCACTGACGACTCGCTGCTTCTGTGAATACAACATCTACATTTGATCCTATTTGGAATCAGATTCAATATAAAGATTCTTAAAGTCTACAAACCTGATTTCTTCTGTTTTATGTTCCAGCGACGCCTTCGACCTCCAGTTTGGAGTCGTGATCCTCAGACTGCAGGAAGGACTGGACGTCTCCCACATCCACGGACAAGGTACAAACGTCTTTTTCTGTCTATTGTACTGTATGTCCTGCATCTGTCTTGCATCTGTCCTGCATCTGTATCCCTGTTTGTCCTCCACAGACGAGCTGCTGTCCCACGAGAAGCCGCCAGTCGGCACTAACGAGGTGGTGGTCTCTGTGAATCTTGTGAAAGACTCGGACTCTGACTCCTGTCCTTCAAAGTCCACGAGCAACCAGAGCAGTCCACTCATCATCAGAGGTAACAGGAAGGAAACCACCGGAGGAGATCTCTCAGACCTTCAGAGGCTAATGTCTCATCTCTACATGTCAAAGTTTCACATTAACTATCTCGACACATCATATTTTGTCTGCTATCGTTTCATAATGAACTAAAAATGTTTTACGTTCTCATGACAGCACTGATCTCATCTTATTATTCTGCATCTTATATCCGCGTGTATCATCCGTAAAGTTTTTACCATACGTCAGACCCCATAGTTTCAGCTGCAGTTCTTCTTGAAGCCACAAGAGGCATCATCTCGCACATTCTTTTTTATTTCACTCTACAGTTTGCGTTGCGGTCACTTGGAATCTGTGTCGTGTGATGAGACAAACAGACAAACAGTGAAAACAGTGTCTTCCGTCGTGGACGTGATGAGACAGCTGACGTTCATCTGTCCCATCGTGTTTTCTTGTTTGTAGAAACTAAACCTCCTCTGAGTCTGACGGACCAACGTCTGCTGGAGTCCAGTCAACAGTTCAAGAAGAAACAGGGCAAAGGAACCATCGACGTCTGGTGGCTGTTCGATGACGGAGGTCAGTTTGTGTTTGAACTGAACGAAACAGACGAGAACTGTGATGTTGTAAATAAACGAGTTTCAGGACGAGTCACAGAAAATGTTCCAGACAAAAACATCCACAAGAGAATTAAGAAGACTGAAACTAAAGGTTTGTGTGTTTGTGTGTTTCAGGTCTGACTCTGCTGATTCCGTACCTGCTGACCAACAGGAGTAAATGGGGCGACTGCCGGATCCGCGTCTTCATCGGCGGGAAGATCAACCGCATCGACCACGACCGCCGAGTGTGAGACGATAAACTTCTGCTCGACACCAACACACAACAACCAACACACACTGTTTACACAGAACAGTTCAAACTGGACCCAGGTGTGTTTTGACTCCACGTGTCTGACTCGTTGTCCCTCTGTCCTCGTGTCTCTCAGGATGGCCACGCTGCTCAGCAGGTTCAGAATCGACTTCTCTGACATCAACGTCCTCGGAGACATCAACACCAAACCCAAGAAACACAAGTACGAGCTCTGACGCCTCGAACTTTCACCTTCAGTTCAGTGAAAGTCGTGGTGACGGATTCTGGTTCTGATTTATTTTGAATACGTCTCTCACTGCGAAGACGAGAATAAAACAACCTCCATCTTAGTCCAGATATAACAAATCATGAGGACGTTAATTAACACGTCCAGATTTAAAACAACTCAATTCAACTTGTCCGGCTCGAACCTGCCGATTAAAGTGAGTGTGAATCTGGAGAAAGTTCCTTTGTCTCTGCATCAGATCTGGTTTTGAGAAAAGTCAAAGTACGTTAGCTTGAATGTTTGATAGAAAGTTTAGCAGGTTCATGCAGAGTTGGTGTAAACTTTTAACGTGACTTGTTTGTGCAGTAAGTTGAGTTTTAAGGAGCTGATCGAGCCGTACAGGCTGAAGGAGGACGACATGGAGCAGGAAGCTGCCGAGCGGCTGAAAGCTCAGGAGCCGTGGAGGATCACTGACAACGAGCTGGAGCTGTACAAGGCCAAGGTCTGCCCGGATACTGCTGACCCCCCCCCC